CAAGCTTTTAAAAGAGGAAAACGAATCACAAAAATGTGGTTATGTTATGGTTTCTATTTCATTGAGTAATAAAGAGAAATATAAAGAGCAGCATACTGAATGAGATAAATTGAACTAAAACCTTATGACTCATACATCCCATGACTGAGCTGTCAGAACAACATGTTTTGTATTCCTGGCTGAGTTACCTACCAGCTGATGATCTCACATCATGTTTTTCATCATGGTATCCAATCTTTCACTGAAATAACAAATATGGCCAGAGTGCTTAAAAGGCAAAATGACTGTGGACACGTCAAAATCACCAGTTTTCTTCTTTTCTTCATTGGCTGTCTACCACTCTAGTTACCTAACCTGCTTCCTCTATAACCCCATCAGACCCCTCTAATTAGTAATACTTATTAATAATACTAATTAATAATGCTTATTAATTACCTGGCAGACCCCTGACCATTAATGCCAGACCCAGGCAGCACTGTTGGTCATCAGTAGGTGCTGCAGATTTGTTCTAGCTCAGGTGTGGGCCCACAGCCACATTCTGACAGGGCTCTGCGACTCCCCTCAGCTGTGATTTTGTGCCAGCATATGCCCTGCATGTGTGAAGCTGGTGCCTCCAGGTGGTACTAAGCATGGCTTGTGCTGTGCATTGCAAGGATGCACTCCTGTTGCACAGAGCAGATGTTTGGGCAGCTTCCCAGGAAGGGACTGGCTGTTTCTGAGGGCAGTCACAGCATATGGCCTTAAGTAAAGACTTCCCACTCCGTGGCAGGAGGGCTAACATGCTATCTCAGCAGTGCAGCATGCCATTTTCATCCAGCCCTAGGACACTGCAGCAGCAGTAGGAGGCAGCCTAAGCCCTGGGTGTTTGGCAACTGGAAGCCCTCAACATGCAGTCTGTTGTTGCCAGCTGACACAGGTTAACCAGTGATTTGACAACATGATGCGAAGCTGTCACGGCACAGCAAAAGCATCTCTTTCCCCAAGCTGTGGGGAATCCAGATCAGGGCCATGTTGCTGTTGCAGTACACAGGAGATGATGAAGCCTGGAGCAGGAAAAGCAACCTCTGGAAGGCTGAAAGAGAACCTGACCTAAGAAATGCTATGTTCTTGTATCTCAAGCTGTGTTTTTTTTATACCCCTGTGTCATTCACTAACGTTGGTTGTGTGATGGAGGGTATGTGACTGAGAATCACAGGTTAAAGACATTATAGCTATTGCAATTAGCATGTGCCCATCTGCTACGGGCTTTCAGGGGTCAGAGATACAACCAATACAGTTTGTGGAGCTAGAAGTGAAGTAATATGTAGAATGGGAAATGGCTTCTGGAGAAGAGATACAGACATTGCTTAGGGTCGGGTCAGCCCATCACATAATGCTTAGATCTTTGCCGGAAATTGTTGATGGGCACGTTCTAGTGAACAGAGCTGCTGCAGTTTAGGAAAGTACCATTCTATCTCTTGACTTCATCTCAGGTGATGTTTATTGCTGTCAGAGCAGGGTTGCTGGAATGGATCATGTAAACAAACGCATACTGCATATTATCCTGAAGGAAACTTTCCCATCAAATCTCCACTTAGTCCATTACAGGCTGAGTGTCACCATCTTATCTTAAAAGTGGTCTACCTCTCCAACTGAAATCTCCAAAGAGGCCTATTCCTTAGTAATGTAGTTTTTTCAGTCACAGGTAGGTGAGTTTATCACAACCTTGAACTTCATGAATTACCACCACAAACTTCCATTTGTGGTTTTTAATGACAGAAGTAGCATATTTAATACCTCACGTGTGTGCATTTCTAGCAGACCTTTTCTGGTAGTATCTGTGATCCTTTTCAGCTTTTAGAAAGTTGCACTGTTGCCACAGATACTTACAATGCATGCACAACCATCCATGTCAAAATGAACATACTGGTCACGCATGTCTTTACATACTCTTCCAAGCCACACACAAAGTTTGCCTATCAGATTAGGGTGGCATACATTGGTTAGCCAACAGCCCACAGTGCTCACTTTGTCCCTGATGGAGAGAGGCAGTTTCTGAGGCAGCCAGCATGCAAGCCAAGAGAGTTTGACAAGCTGGTGTCAATATCTGGCACTAGCTCCAGCATCAGCCCTGAAATCACTGAAGCTCCTTGTCCCTCAGAAGAGACAGGGATCAGCAGTTTTCTTCGGGTACTCCATAAAAAGAGAAATGGAAACTGAAATCCTCATACTGTCAACTCATGGACTTTGGGGATATCCCAGGTAATGGAAAAAAAAAACCCAAACAAACCAAGGTCAGTTCCTGGAGGGCTGAATAGCTCTTTCACTGAACTAGGCCAAAGCTGGTTCTGTGCCTCCAAGTGGTGTTGAGCCTGGGGTAACCAACCCTCCTGGACCACAGAGTGCTGCTGGCACATGGAGTGTGGCATAGCTCACCTTGCGTCAGAGCTGGTCACTTCATGGATCTGTGAGGAGTCCCTTGGGTGTCACCACCCCCTGCTCCCCTGAGCTCATAGTCTCAGGCACAAGTCTGCAGAGTCTCTGCAGCACTCTCTCTACACATCTGGTCCTTGTTAGCTTAGGCTTAGTGTCCTGTGAAAGTATTTGTAATGTTTCCAGACCTGAGCAGGCGGTACTGTGCCTCAGCTAATGAACCCAGCCAGGCTTTGCATCCACAGTGCAGTTAATCTACAAGCAGAACATGAGCTCCCGAGTGACTGGTAGAGAGACAGTAGCTGCTCTTTGGTGTCACCCTAGGACTGTGACTCTTGCTAGTTTTGCCTTGGCTGTATTTTCAGAAGGGGTCTGGCGAGGTTGCTGAGCTGCACTGTGTTCTTCTAGTGCAGCAGCTAGGTGAACAGTAGTAATCCTGTGGGACTTGGGAGCTACTATCTTTCCTAAACGTCTCCATAGGAAATTACTATAACAAAACTCAAAAAGACCTTAAGGAAGGGGACTGTGATTTTATGTTACAAATCTCAAAATAAATGGATTTTGCCCCCTTGCACTGTCTTATCCATATATTCACCAGCACCAAGGTGTGTGCATCTCAGCAGCCTGGCCAGGATCACTGATGTGCAAGAGAGATGGTGCAGGGTACTTGCTGGATCTTGATAAGAAAGGCCTGGCAACAAATGGCTAAATAAGACAGCAGTTTTAATAAGACAGAGTAAGAAGAGGAATATGGCCAGAGAGTAAATCTAACATCCCTTCAGATGCTGGTGACCCTGTGTTTGTGCAGCATTGGACACAGCCCAGATGGATTTCCCCATGGCACACTGCTGCAGCTCCTGTCCGTGAAGGGAAGCTCCCCCTTTTTGGTCATCTGAACTATGATATATTTTCTTACAGGAGCACAATTCTGTTCCTAATGGCAGGGCTGGGCCGGTGGTGCAGTCCGAGCGGGAGCTGCCTGCAGGCTCCTCCGTTGCCACCCACCAGCTCAGCTTACCCTGTCTCCATGGCCTGCGCGGCGCGGCGCGGCCTGATGGCCGTGCTGCATGTGCAGCACGGCGCAGTGCAGACCCGTGTGCGTGAATTACAGCTTCCCGCAGCAACACACAGCCTTCCCAGGCCCTGAGCCAAGGCCCATGAGAGCAGACATGGCCTGCTCGAGATCACCAGCTCCTCAAAAGCCATTTCTTCTGCCAGGCTCCCAATACACGG